TGGATACATAGGCACTGCACTTAAACTCAAAACCATATCAAAAACAGACACAACCATTGAGGAAATAACAGATCCAACATGGTATAACAAATACAGAAAACAACTAGCTGCTAACAAAATTCTTTTCCTGAACCAAATCACAAACTACACAGGAACCAGACTTGCAGCATGGGTAGAAATAATTACGGCAAACAAAAAACCAAACAGAAAAACACCCAACTGGTATAAAGAGCTTCAACAGAACCAAAAAATTCATCAACTAATCAAAAACAGATACTCAGAAGAAACAAAAATTAATCACAAACTAGCGATAGAAACAACAAATCAAAATATCAAATGGACCGTAGCCCAAGGCAACAAGACAAGCATAATTAGTAAAAAGCGAGCCATCTCCAACAATACAATCAAATTACAACATTACATCAGAACCAATAATCTCCACTCCCCCTTCAGGAATGCAAAGGATGCCCATTAAATACATCAAAGAAACAAGGGGAATGCATTTTTTTTAAAAACAAAAACAGTCTAGTCTGCATCCCAGTTCACAAAAGCAAAACTAGCGCAAGAAACACACCCTTCAAAAAGCTCTGCCAAAGAAGCAGAATCTCTCCTAACAGCTTACACAACATCTTAAAGGATAAATTCTTACACCCACATCTTCCTCCACCACCATTCATTCTGAACGACCAAATAATAATCAACAAAACAATCATCAAAAAATATCTCGAAACAACAGAACAAGCACTTGAGGATCTAGCAACAATTCGCCGGAAAATTGGGGGACTCAAAGAAATTACAGCTTACACAGACGGTTTTCTAGACTCAAACCAAAATATGGGTTTCGGATGGCACATAATCCAGGATCCAGAAATAAGTTTCCAAGGAAAAATAAACAACTTTCCATCCTTCACAAGAGCAGAACTCGCAGCAATCTTTACCCTCCTGACAACAGTTCCAGCCAACAGCAAAATAACCATCTGCAGCGACAGCCAAGCGGCCCTAGGAGCGATTAACAAGGCACAATGTAACCCAGCCAACTTAAGAACTTTGAGAAACAACAACATTATCAACTCAATAATTCACATAATAGAAAACCAAAAACTAGTTATCTCTTGGAAAAAGATCAAAGCACACAGCAACAACAAACATAACGACAAAGCAGACCTCCTAGCAAAAGAAGCAACTATTACAGGAAAATCATCAGAAATTACCTGCACACCCATCAGAAGCAATATATCACAGTGGACACAGGAATGGAATGGGCATACCCTAGACAACACAATTACAACCTCAATCAAAAATCTAATCAGAACAAAGCACATCCTCAACTGGAGAAGCTTGAACCGTAACCTCAATACAACAGACTCCTCCACACTAAACAACATAGCATGGGAAGAATCTCTCATCAATAGGCAACCTTCCAAACTTACAACAGGTTTAACCAACCAAAATGACCATACAATTAGATTATTCAGAGCAAGACTCTGGAACCTGGAATTACCCACCAAGGACAAACTTCACAAAAGAGCAGCAAATACTTATACCGACAATCAATGCCTCAACTGCCAACAAGTCGAAACAAATACACACTGCATGTTATGCGAAGGAAACGGAACCAACATTTACAAAAAACTACAACAAATCATTAATGAAGAGATAAGCAGTAGAACTGACAAGCCCATCAAACATAACCTTAACAGAGACCTAAACAAACAAGCAAAGCTCTGGACCCAAGAAGTCAAAAACTACATAGCGAGAGGTGCCCTTACAACAGAGATAATCAAAACTATCAAGAAACACACACCAACAGAACATCATAAGGAAACCATAAAAAATATTTTCGACAGATTCCTCAAAACACTACAAGAAAGATGGAACAACAGATGCAACGAATTTGCAAAATGGGAAAAGGAACACAACATCACCCCAAACGACAAAAAACAATGGAAAGCGGCAAACAAAAGAAAAAATACAAACAAAAACATAACTCCAGGCATCAACGCCATTATGAAACTCTCCAGTCATCACTGGATCAACTGGAATACAATCTACTCATTTAAAACCAAATTTTTATGGGACAGGTAGAGCCTTGGCAAATTAGTCAAGTATATACCAGTACTTGGCAATAAGCCACATGGTAGGACTTTCCTTAGTGAGTTTAATTAGGTAGACTGAGTGATAAATTTGTATAAAATAAATTTGTACATACTTACCAATAAATACCTAATAAACAAGGCGTAAGCCACCCGTTAGAAAAAAAAAAAGTTATGCATATATACATCGGATTTTTATAAGAATTCTATAAGTTGGGACTGAGTAAGAAATATGCATTTGTATGTTTTTTATATAGAATATACAAATAAATAATATATAAATAGACAGGTGCCACTGTATATTGGCTTAATATTTGTTTTTTTTCCATGCAAAATGCAAGGAAACTGAGGGGTAGCTTCCTTACCACAAGACTCAATTATAATGATAACGAGCTAAGCAAAGGTAACAAATTCAACAAGGTCAGAGAAACGGCCATTCAACCATATCCCACCTCTGCAAAGAAACCCAAAACACATATCGAAAAACAGGAAACTAGTATGATTCCAATCAGTACCAGCAACATATCGACAAAAATGACAGAAACTACTTCTTCACAAGAACTAAATAATAGAGTCCCCAGTGAAAACAGGACAGAAATAATAAAAAATGAGAATTTTGTGACACGGCCACACCCAGAAATAAAAGGGAAACATGATGACCAAACCTACCGAAGCGCCAACCAGGAAAGTGATAGGAAATCCACAAGATCAGATGAATTCGATACTGACATGGACAGCGACACAGACCTGAACAGAGAAATGGACGGCACAGAATGGTCCATGGTTAAGAAAGGGAAACAACTAGTTAGACAGAGCACTAAACCCAGAGTGTCATTCCCAATCAATTGGACAAAAAGATATGGAAGGAAAAGATTTAAACTAAAGATACCTGCAAACAAAGTCAAAGGCTAACACATAAGTAACAAAATACAGATGGTTGCCAAAGTCCTCGGCAGCCCGATCGGCCTAATTTCTATCCATGCTGAAAAAATCAAAAATATCGAACACATCATAACAATCTTCAGAGATCAACAAGTAGCAGATAACGCAATGACCATAATATCAGACAAATTTTACAATGATAAACTTACACGCATAGAAATGCTAAGCCCTATTCAAAAAAGAAAAAACACAATTAGAATATGGGACATACTCCTCAATGCAAAAACCATAGACATCCAACAAACCTTTGTTAGATATGGTAACATCATAAGCATTACCATGAGCACGCAACAAATGTGACAATCAACAACAATCTATTATAAGGACAGAAACAATAAAAACAAACTAGTCAAACTCTGATCCATACATTCAAAGCAGACATAGTAAGAGTTTTCGATGCAACATGGGACACCAACCAAATAAAGTGCAGTCAATCCACCTCAATCAAGCTCTGCAACTTATCCCTGACACAACAGCATAAGACCTTAGAGACATAATCGCAGAAACACACGTCAAGACATGCTACATTCTCAGGAAAATGTTGTACCAAAGGAAAAGATTTGCAGTCATAGCATACAAAAACCAACAAGAACTCAAAAAAGCAACACAGAAGACATACAAACTAGGAAACACAGCACTAAGCTGGCAACCAATAGACATCAAACTATGTGCCATCTGTGACATGTACAATCACTTAGCAGCTGAATGCCCAATTAAACACCGCAGAGAGCAACTGAAAACGTATAACGAAAAACAAGCAAAACAGTTCGGGGTCCTCTACTGCAGATATTGACTGGCCAAAACCACCCCAATCAGAAACATCATTAGAAACAAAAAGAAAGAAAGCAACAGAAAAAAGTCATACATGGAAATCGCCTGCAGAAACCATAGAGTTGAACTACCAGGAGAAAATTGAAACAATACAAATGAGACGTGCAACAAAGTGCAAGCAACAGTCCTCACCACATTGCAACACATTCTCGAAGAAATCCAGGAAGTCAAAAAACAATTGAACGACCTAGATAAAAGAGTAAAATGGATCGAATCTACTTATGAAGAAGAGGCCAAAGATAAAATAACAAATGACGATCAAACCATCATAATAATCCAGCGACATGGACAAACGCCAAGACAACTGGAGCCAGTAGCGAGTGGAACTACAGAAAAGCTGATCAAAGACCTGAAGACCAAACAAAAACAGCTATATTCTGGAATGGAGAGAATCAAAAAAGTACTAGCCAAAGTAATTCACATGGCATGGGACCAGAACAATAATAAAACTGACAACATCACCAGAGTACACATGACAACCTCTTATTATCAATAATGGGAAACTATAATAAAACAATAGAAGTGGGTCCAGCAACACCTTTAGGCAACTTGCCACATCAAGAATCCGTGCATGAACAATTCGTCAAAGAATCAGAAACACCTGAAACACAAAACAACATAACAATTAAAACAAATACAAACAATAAAGAACCAGCAAAGCCACTGATGCAGTTTGTGAATGACATACCCACCAAAGCACAACACACGAATGTTCCCTCAGTCACCACACTCAGAATCGCAACATTGAACATAAGGGGGATAAACGATGACTACAAAAAAAAAATCTCTGGTTCACTCAATGGCATATATACAAATGGGATATTATAATCACAACAGAGACAAACAGCAGATCACAAAATGAAAAACTTTAAAAAAATGATACATATATAATATACTGGACCTCGGGAAAACTATTTTTAGAAGAAGGTGTAGGTGTCAGCCTTAAAGCATACCTCATGATAAGAGTCATAAGAAAACAAATAATATCAGGTAGAGCAATATTCATAGACTTAACATTTTCGCGGAGGAAGTATGTTAGAATAATAGGAGTATATGCATATGCAGTCCAATCAAAAAAAGCATAACTGGAAGTGCAAGTAAGCAAATGGATTCAAATTGCTAGACAAGACAACTGGGAAGTAATCCTGGAGGGGATCTCAACAACGTCCACAGACCTGCTATAGACCGTCACTCCAGCACAAACAAAAAAGAAAAAGACAAGTGGATGTGCAATATCATACTGATTAACAACATAATAACAGAGGAAATGAAGGACACATTCAGACATATATATCTAGGAGTTCAGGAATACATATGGAAAAGCACAGCGGGAAGCGAAAGTAGAATAGATCAGATATGGGCAACAGACAAGGAAACAGCATTATTCAATTGACAGAAATCATTAAGGAACCAAAGAAGATACATGACTTGAATCACAAGATCACAGTAATACAGATAACTTTCCCAGGACTGACAAATCACAAACAACCGAACAGGAGAAAAACATCCAACACCAGATACAATTGGGCAGGAACTGAAGAATACAAATGGACAGCATGGACAAAAGACATTGAGAACGAATGCGCGGAAAGACTTGACACACAAATGACCCATACCTCACAAACTACGAACGAGCAATGAAACAAACTCAAGAGATAATTCTAGCAGCCACATGTAAGCACATCAAGAAAATAGAGAAAAACAAATGCTATAGCAGAAACAAGAAAGCAAAACAAAACTTACATAGCACAGTCGAATTAATTGACATATCACAAATAATTCAGGGTGCAACAATATACATAGCGGATCTATCAAAAGCAAGCCACATAGATAAGGTAAAGGAGCTGGCTGACGCACATAAAACCACAATAGGACAGCCAAGATCGTGGACTTCATAACACATAAAAGAATGGCTGTCGGAAGTCAGAAATATGAGAAACATACTACAAATAAGCCACGTGACTAGAATCACAGAGACATAAAGAAATGCAATCAGAATAGCATTAATTATAAGAATGAACTGGCTGGAAACAGACAAAAAAAGAATAATCAACAGCATTCTAGGAAATACGTGCAGACAAATTACACTCAACAGAATCATAACACAAGAGGAAAACCCAGAAGTAATATTGAAAGAGGATAGAATAAAACAAGTAGTATATGAGCACTTCAGAAAATGGATATCAAGAGGAGACCAGAGGAGAATTGACAAAAAATGGATATTCAAATTTTAACCTATCAGAAACGTCCAAAGTGAATGATATAACAGCCTAATGAAAGAAATCAGCACAGAAGAAATTCGGAAGACAATACTAAACACAAACAATACATCAGCACCAGGCCCCACACAGATCCTGTACATAACCCTCAAGAAGCTTGGAACACAAGCAATGAAGGCAATCACGAAGATATTCAATGATGTACTAACCTATTGTAGAATGTCCACAGAATGAAAAATGAAACGATTTACCATATATCCAAAACAATGGACTGGGAAAATGACCTGTCGAAAGTTAGGCCCATTATGCTCCTAGAATTAATAAAAAAAATATTTATAAAGATCCTGACAAAAAGACTTACCACGGTTTTCACTTTACACCCAATACTATCAGAACACAACTAGTCTGCACTACCCAAGTTAAGCACAAGAGAACCTATAAGGATAATAAACAATGCTATAGACAACGCAAGACTCCACAACAAGGAATGCTGGTTGATATTTCAAGACATGCCCAAGGCATATAACCGCGTCAATATCAATATCCTCGAACACGTACTCAAAAAACTTAAGATACCAGATCCTTTTTGTAAATTAATAACAGAAAACTTTAGCCATAGACACAACACAGTTATCACAGCCATAGATACGATGGATCCATATGAAGTCCAAGGTGGCATAGACCAAGAGGACACTATATCACCCATATTATGAAGGATATATTATGACCCATTGATCACGAGAATAGCAAGAATGAAAGGATTCAAACTTCTCCCACAAACTTTCAAAGCTCAGAAACACTCCTCAATCATAGCTCACACCAATGCATTCTACTACTGAAGGTCCAGAAATATCTAAAGTAATTGCCGCTTCCTTTGAAACATACCAAAGAACCAGAATCTCTATACTAATTATTATTGTCAATATTTCTTACTTGAACCTTATGTTAGCAGACTCTCTCAATGCCTTCTTCGATTTTCAAAATATATTTGAAATAACTGATGAAGATAGAACTGAATTAATGAAAAAGCAGCTAAATTACAAATTACATATGTCTTGAAACAGACTTGACATCCTTTTCTCTAGTACAGGTAACACCTTTTCCTTGAAGCAAAAAACCGAAATACCCAGATCCCCTCCAAACACTCCAGTCTCTAATGAGGCAATAAGTAATGACAATGAAATGCAGGACGATTGTTCAATTGAAACATCACATGCAGTTACCCCTGACCACAATGCAGATCAAATTAGCCCTCATGCAGA